TTTTTTGAAAACAGAAACATGTACTCTAGTATCATAAAAATAATTTAATATTCTTACAGAGATATTATTTCATCTGCCAAAATTTCCACAATTCTTAGCTCATTCAGGGTGAAAAATTACCAGATTCTGATGTTTTAGGAGGTTTTGGTTAGATCCAAATATAATTTCATGCTTATTTCCCTACCTCTTCTTTATATACTTTCATGCTCTTTATCTTTTTCTCTTTATGTAAAAGCAAACATTAGTTTTTGTCCTTTGTGAATGACACAATAATTCAGGTAGATGCTTCTTCTGCAGTTCTTGCTATTTGTTAGGGTGTCTTACACATGGAGAGTATTAAACTTTAAGTGGAGCCTTGTCATAGAATTTTTTAGCTGGAACAAACTGAAACAAAACTGGCAGTATGACAACCAACCAACAAGTCATTATGTCTCTTAATTGCCAGTACCACCTCTAAATAGATTTGTACACCATTTCCTTTAAACTAACATTTTTTGCAGTCGTGCCATCCTTGTTGAACTTTACCTATATTAAGTCATGCCAAAATTTTAAAGCAAATTCAGGGTTATTTTGTTAAAATACATCTTGTATTTTTTAGATAAATTTGGTTTATTTCCTTGTTGTAGAAGTTACACCAAAAGATTTGGGGGATGACTTAGTATGAAGAGAGGAAATATGTTACTGTAGTCGTGTCTTTATCTTATTTATTTATGTGATTATTTAAAGTTTAATTAATTATTTATTTTTAGAGGCTTTTACCTTGGGGCTCATGTGCTCACTGGAGAGAGAGAGAGAGAGACAGAGACAGAGACACTGAGAGGGAAAGTGAGAAATCACCCTTTTCCTCCTTTATGCTCCCAGAATCTTGTGCACACATTCACACGTGCCCAGCATGAGTTTTAAACGACTGGATCTGGGACTTAAACTGCAGTTGGCTATGTGAGAGTGCAGAGACGTAACCTCTACACCATCTGCTGACCTGTAATGATTTCTTTTGAAAGAGCGAGAGTTACCCTCAACAAAGTTCTCATGTTGTAATCGTCCCACACCCAGCCTTTTCCAACCTCAGCCAGCCACAATCATGGGCATGTGCACACATTTCTAGCATGTAAAGGGAAATCTCAGGATGCTAGCCTGTGACCTTCCCATAAGGCATTAGCATTGTGGAGCAACAGCAGGCTGGCCTGTTTTATTGTTTTAGAATGGTCCTTAACATGTTGGTCCTTCATGTTGGGACTTGAATGTAACCTATACATGATTCTCTAGACAAGATTATAACTTTTCTCTTAACTCTCAGTCTCACTCAGGAAGAGATTAAACACTGGCTATACAGTGCTATTTGACTGAACTAGGACTATGTCTTCTTGTCATAAAGAATAATTACATTGTTAATTTACAACTATTTCATAGTAGCACATTAATTTAAATCTATTTTTTTTATAAAATCAAAATAAACTTTAATGTCATTGACTTAAGACAGGGGACCCCATCTCTAGCTGGGGAGAGAAATTTGGAATTATGATTACAATAAATGTAGTTAAAATGTGGAGCCAAATATATTTAATGTGAATTTGTTTGCATAGCAAATGAAAACTTATTAGCATAAGGAAACCCATCTTGGCTTTTCTTGAATTCCTAGGTAAGGTAATAGACCCTGAATGATGGAAGACTAGGTAGTGTATGACCTTGAATTTGGTGACATCACCTTCTCCTTTAACTGTCATTTTCCTCTTAGCATGATATCATTCTTTATTGGAGTTTCACAACCTTCTCCAAGATTTCCATTCCAGTGTTTGAATTCAATTAAGGTAGTTCAGAGCACAGATTAAATACATTTCTTCTGATTGTTGCTGTTTATATTGTTACTACCTTCTGAAGTTTGTCATTGGAAGACTTTAAGATTTTTTTCAGACTGCTCTATCTAAAAAGATGTAAAACAAACAAACAAAAAACGGTTATCTTTTCTTTTTAACTGCCAGAAGGCATGTGCATATGCCAATGAACTTCCCAATGGATGGGATATGGTCCTGTTGCAATCCACTCTCCTCCATTACTCCATTCTGTCAAAATTTTGGGTATGCAAACACACATGACCCGTATGTTTTTCAAGCTACTGGAGCTGGAATTAGAACTGCTGTCAGTGGGACCAGCAGTTAGCGTAATGGCTATGTCGCTGGACTCCCATGTAGCTGACCGCAGTTCGCGTCCCGAACCTGGTGGCTTAACACTCATGCCGGGAGCGTGCGTGTGCGTGCCCAAGATCCCGAGAGGAGAATGGAGGAGAAGGGATTGCAGCATGGCCACCCCTTCTAGGGGGTGATTTCTCGCTTTCTGTCTCTCTGTCTCTCTCTGTCTGTCTGGCAAGAGCATGAGCCCTATGGCAAAAACCTCTCAAAAAAAAAAAAAAAAAAAAGAAATACTTTCACGGTGAAAAAAAAAAGGAACTACTGTCAGTGTCAGCTCTGTGAGATTAGAACTGCTGTCAGCTTCATTAACTACTAGGCTGTGGGGCCAGTCCTTATTTTCTATTTTAACAAAACCATTCTATTATATATTGTTATTTTTTTCTTCTTTTTTAACATTTTCTCCCTTCTTTCTTTCCTTTCTCTCCTCCTCCTTCCCTTTCTTCCTTTCTTAAGACAGACACAGAGAGAGAGACAGAGACAGAGACAGTTTCTCTGACAGGGTCTTGCCATGTGCACAATCCCTCTCCCAGCTTTCTAGACAGCCAGGATTACAAGCGTTTCCACAGGCACACCCAGTATGTTCAGGTCAACTAGGATCCAAACGCAGGGTTTCCTATATGGCTTTAACATCATGCAGTAACACCCTCATGCGTGTGCACTCTGACTAGGTATCTCCCTCTTCTAATTCATCTTTTTTTAGAGTTAAATAAGTTTGCTTTGTTGAAATGTAAACTACTTCATGTTTTTATTTTTATTTTAGTTATTAGATAAGTATATGAGCTTACAAATACTCAGACCAAAGCTTTTTGTCAATCAGCACAGAATTTTGCCAAAGGTTCACATTGTCAGATAAATTATGGACTGTGTGCCTTTTTAGGGAGCATTTGACACATTCTCACACTGAAATGGACCCAATGTAATATCTACTGGTAACTATGTAATTAACACCTTTAACATAGGACCTACTTGCCAATGTTTGATGCATGATCAGAATAATTTTGCCTCAGGTCATTTTTACTTGTAATTTTGTTATTTGAGGTAATTTTAATCTCTACTACCTAATTTTCTCTTCAAAAACCTGGGGAGGTTTCATTTTATAGGTGAATAAACTACCACCTAGAAATCTAGGGGACTTGCTGAAGGTCACATGCTTGGAGAGGTCAGGTCCTAAGCCCAGCTTCTCCAACTTTTTCTTCCCACTCATATTTATGCTGTTCTCCCACAAAACCTTCAAAAACAGTAGGCTCCACATATACATTTTTAATATCTATTTAAATCCTGAGAAAAACATGATTGGGACTAGTCATGATCTGCTAGGTGAATAGAAAGAGGTTATTTACACTTGTAGTAATGTAGGCACATTGGGGTGTGTTTTTTAAATGTTTGGAAAATAAATATTTGATAATACCTGTAACTCTCCATTTTTACTTTTGAAACGCTAGTTCAACACTTTTACATGACTGCTATGCTTATTCTGTGGCCTTGGATACTAATAAGGACAAGGACTTAGATAATAGGAAATGAACTGTATTGATTAGGCCTAGTTCGTTTTACCTACAATTATAAACCATTGTAAGTATGTTTACCTATTCCTGGTTACAAAGAAAAAAGCCATTGTAAGATATTTAATTTCCAAATGGTTTGAGATAATGTTATAAAATTAGTCACTTTATAATTTGTGATCTCTAGGTACATATTTTACCTGGTTCACATCTACTTAACAGTCTGAGCATTTTCATTAAAAGATTCTCTATTGTGATTAGTAGGGGGCATAATGATCAAGGCACTGGACTCCCATGTAGCCAGTCATGGTTTGAGTTCTGTACTTGGTAACTTGAAACTCACACCAGGTGCGTGTGTGTGTGTGTGTATGTGTGTGTGTGTGTGTGTGTGTGTGTGTGTGTGCATGTGTATGTGCCCAAAATCTCAAGAGGAGAATGGTGAGGGATTATAGCATGGCCATCCATCCTGGGGAGTGATTTCTCACTATCTGTCTCTGATGAACACACCCACCTGTAGCAAAATATATTAAAAAATTAAAGCATTCTCTGTTAAAGGGTAATTTTTAGCAACAATTTATATATTTATATATATTATATATATTTATATTATTTTATTTCTATTATTTTATATTTTATATTATTTATATTATTTTATAAATAAAATAATAAGTTATATTTATTTTAGAGTCATTTTGTGAAGCTACAGTTTGAATATTGAGCATTCTCAAAACCATTCACCTGTAAGAAGTGTGAATTGACTTCTTAGTATGTATAGATCACTGCATTCATCACTACGTGGATGGGAAAAAAGAAGGGTGATTGATTATCTTTGCTTGCCTGTGGAATTTTATTTGACTTTGCAAAATACTTTAGCATACACTCTCATCAAGCTTATTCATTACAAAACTATTTTAAAAAGATGTGCTCAGATCCATTTTTAAATGATCTCAGGTAGCAAAGGTAGGTATTTTTTCTGATTTTGAAGTTTTCTGAAAATATATATATCCTGAAATGCCCAAGAATAGTTTTAATTTTGAATTCAATTTCATGTTTCTAAGATCTATTCGAACGTATGAATATTCTGTCACCAGTCTGAAGATGAAGCAAGAAAGGAGTGGCAATTGTTTCTGTAAGATGCCAGCCTCTCACTGACAGAGCCAGATTAGAAGTCAGAAATCTTTATTTTTCATTAATTATTGATCATGCTCCCCAAACTAACTTTCACCCCTAAGTATAAAAAGAATAATCAAAGGCTAAGCAGGAAAACAAAGATGGCTTAGAGTAAATTTAAATATATTTCTCTCTTCCGTAGGAGAAAGTTATGTGTGTGGCTCAATAGAACCTTTCAAAAAGCTGGAGTACACCAAGAACGTGAACCCCAATTGGTCGGTGAATGTCAAGACCACCTCAGCTTCCCGGGCAGTGTCTTCACTGGCCACTGCCAAAGGGAGTCCTTCAGAGGTGCGAGAAAATAAGGATTTCATTCGGCCCAAGCTGGTCACCATCATCAGAAGTGGGGTGAAGCCACGGAAAGCTGTCAGGATTCTACTGAACAAGAAAACTGCTCATTCTTTTGAGCAGGTCCTCACTGATATAACTGATGCCATCAAGCTGGACTCGGGGGTGGTGAAACGCCTGTACACCTTGGATGGGAAACAGGTAAGACACGTGTCATGGGGTCGCTTTGATGTCGCAGGCAGGAACCAGGGAGAGGGAGAAGTGGGGACCTGCAGCCATTTTGCTCAGGTTGGTGAGGAAGTTGGGTCGTTTAGTCAATGAATATGTACTTGTTGGTCTCAAACCAGTCTGAGGTAAAGTTAGATAAGATCAACCATGGGAATTAAGTTAAAAAGCAAAAAGCACTATTCGTGAAGATTAAGTGATTACTCTGGGAATTCTGTTTTTCCAGTTATTATTTGTTAAATGTAGTTGTGCTTTGTTATCATCTGTTTTCAATTTTCTCTTATGTCTGATAGCTTTCATGACTGAGATATAGAGGTAAACTGACCAGTAGAGAGGACGCTAGCTCATGTCTTTGAACTAAACAGTATTTTATGATTTTATGTCTTAGTAATGTTCACTAGCAAAATTTATTTAAATTTTACAGATGTTAGAATATATATCTAAGGAGTGACGTATTTCTATCAGGATGGCTTTAAGAGATGTATTTCTAAAATATTACGTATCTTTTGTTTATAACATCCTTTCAGAATTAAAATGAAAGGGCAAATTCTTTAGCTACTAAATGGACATAATGACTCAGATAAGTGGACATTTTAATGCGAGTTAGTCAGATGAACCCAGAGAAGCATTACCTTCCTTGTCTTTACCTGAGCTTTTACAGTGTCTTGTGTGGACTTTTATAAAGGTTTGACAGAACCATAATGGTGAGTTGAATAAAGAAACGTAGAGCAGGCCCAGCTGCTGTGGTGTGTGCTGCTGAAATGCTGTGTCTCACCAGCTGGGACCACATGGGAGGCCCGAATTTAATTCCCAGTCCAACCTAAAAGGCCAGTATATTGGTGGACACCTGTAACACAGTGACTGGAGTGGCTGAGGCAGGAGAATCACGAGGCTGTCGCTGGCCTGGGCAACAAGCGAGACCCTGAATAAAAAAAAAAAAAGAAGAAAAAACAAGGGACCAGGAGATGACCTAATGGTTACATCACTGGACTCCCACATAGCCGACTGTGGTTCAAGTCCTGGACCTGGTGGCTTAAAACTCATTCCAGGCCTGTGTGCATGCACATCCAAAATCCTGAGAGGAGAGTGGAGGAGAAGGGATTGCATGGCCATCCTCCCTAGGGGGTTATTTCTTGCTTTCTATTTCTTTGTCTCTGTCTCTATGGCGAGCACACATGCTCTATAGCACAAATCTCTATAAAAAAATTAACAAATACAGAACTGCTGATCATATATACGCACAGTGTGATTTGCTAGTCATTCAGAATTGCCAGAGTCCTTTTGTTTAAGATTATAATTTTTAGCACACTATCTTTGCTTGACATTTAGTTTTTATTGTGTTTCTTAAATTTTTAAAATAATTTTTGAGGGATAATTTAAATGATTTGTATGTATAGTACATATAAAAATCAAAACCAGATTTATAAATTAAAAGACTGAGCTTATTAAATAGAAGACTCATGCAAGTTCTTGAAGTCTAGCACATTCAAATTTTATGAATTAGAAATAAATGCTAATACTAGAAAGATTTTAAAGAGTGTTAGTCATGAAATAATTCTTTCCCTGGAGATCATTCCAATGCTCTAAATTATAAAATTCACTAGAAAAGAAGAAATATGTGCCAGTTACTCCTTTATATTCTCTAATCTTCTGCTTGTCTCATAAAACTTGCCCTAAATATCAGGAGGATAAAGATTCCGAGGGAGGAAATTCTGTCTTCTACTATGTCGTTGGGAAAGTCTTGACATATTTTTCCATGCAAAAATGCATCATGGCTTTTCCAGCAACCCAATAGATCAAAGAGGCTGTAGCTTTAATGTCATCAATGTATCAGTGACCAGAAAGTCTGCTGCTGGCTTGAGAGGTATAGCAAAAACAAAATTAGCAAGTTTCATGTTTAAACATTTAAACTCTTCCCTGGTTCCATTAGTCATGAGTTACTCAACCATTTACAGAAGGTACTGCTTTTTTCACATATTGAGTTTATCAAGAAGCAGGTATAACTCTTGTCATAGTAAGTAAAATTTCAAACAAGGACTATACATTGAATATGTATTCTTCTGCATTTTGGGAGTTCAAAATTTTTGCACACTGAATGCAAAATCGGCTTCCACTACTTTAGCTAAAGTCTGACATCAACTGATCATTTAATTTTGTTATTCCAGGAATGAATTAATAGAATAGGTACTATTATTTTCTACCTTGTTTTATGGAATTTTCTAGTATCTAATATATTGTCTCTTTTTTCTGTGGTTTACATGTAAATAATCTAATATAATGGGGAATAATCTGAGTTGAATGTCAAAAGACCAGAATTTAAATTTTTACTCAGCCACAAATATTTTATATTTTTAGCTTCACCCTTAACTTACCCTCATTGTACTCATTAGTAAAACATGGATAAAATGATCACCTGCTCTATGGAATGCTTATAGATCAACTATAATAATATTTGTGAAAACGATTTTGAACTACAGCGGTGGCTTTAGTTGTGTATTGTTCTAAGTGCTTTGCAGATATGAAAATGTTTATTTCTTATAGTAGCTTGGTTATTATTATCATCACATAACAGATTAAGGTATGAAGGTACAGAATATATTAAAAACTTGCCCAAGACCACACAGCTATAAATGGTGGAGTTGGAATTTGAACTGTTCTTGCTCCAGAGTTGAGACTGGTAACACTGGTGCTTATACTGTAGCAGATTATGTTGAAGCACCAAACAGATGTAACTATTCAAGGGGGTAATTTGTCTGAGAAATATCATCTGTAAGTTTTCTGCTAAGTGGTATATTTTATTTTTTTGTTCCCCTGTAATCATTCTGTTGGCTGCTGTATACAACCGTTTCTTGTTTGTGTGTATGTGTGTGTTTATTAGGCATACAGTTTGCTGCTGTGGCTCTTCCACTATTATGGCATGTTCTCTCCTTAGCAGGATTGGTGAAAAGTTGCAGAGGAATTGGATGATAAAGTGGAGAGAATATAAAGACTTTTTGCTTGGGTTCCCGGTAGGAACAAAGATACTTCCTCATGGACCCCAGGAGTCTTTAGAATTGTTTCAGTTCAAAAGAGAAATCTGCCTCATAAGCAGTTTGTTCGAGTAGAATTTCTTGACAGCTCTGGCAGAGACTGGGGCTAGATAAGCCTCTGAGAACAAACTACTTTCTTCCAAGCCTTTCTGTGGAATGATGCACAGTTGTGTGGGGGGGCGGCACCCTGTGAAGCCCTCATCCTACCCTGCGCATGGTGGCACTGGGTCCATATGCTGTCAACACGACCTCACCCTTAAGATCACTGTTCCATCTCTTTTCTCTATTTTTTTTTAAATGAAAGAGAGAGAGAGAGAGAGAGAAAGAGAGGCACTTGGGGGTGTTTATACCAGAGCAGATTATGTTGAAGCACCAAACAGGTATAAGTGGACTGAGAAGGAATTTGCAAGGGAGTAATTTGTCTGAGGAACATCATCTATAAGTTTTCCACTATTTGGCTTTATAAATTTTTCCTGCAGTCATTATGCTGACTGTTGTATTCAACTTGTTCTTTGCTTTTTGTTAAGCATACAGTTTGCTATTGTGGTGGTTCCACTGTTGTGACATGTTCTCTTCTCTTGGGGGAAAGAGAAAGAAAGAGAAAGAGAGAGGTATTTTTGACAGGGTCACACCTCAGCCTCCCAGTTAGCTAGGCTTATAGACACATGCCACTGTGCTCCACCTGCCCAAATTGGTCCAGGGTCTGAATCCATGCCACCTATGTGACCCAAAGCTTGCACAGTAATGCTGTGCTTTTTGCTACTGCAGCTGGGTCCCCACCGCTTTAAAAAAACAAACAAACAAATAAACAAACAAACAAAAAACCAGTTTATTCAATGGTAAAGTATTCTGTAATAAAGATTTTCCTGTTTATAACATTTTAAAAAGTATTAAAAGCCTTGGAACATAAAAAAGATACTTTAAGTGATCTCTTGCATCAATTCCATAAATAATATGAGAAATCCAATGCCCAATAAAGTATGTAAAGGCAAGGCTTCTTTTGTATTGAGAAAATAAAATTGCATTAAAAAATGAGTAACACGAATGCTTTGGGTACATGGTAGAGGGAAGTCGTACAAGCAGGACTGGCTTTTCTGATCACCTTCAGGCAACCTGCAGATGTGTCCTTGGGAGGATGGTTGATGCAGGAGTTCTGACCATGGGACTGTGAAAGCTCTTGCAGCTGTACAACACATCACCCAGAGGAGATGGGCAGCAGAGGGAACACACCCCTGCTATTCTCACTGCTCCTACCAACACTCCATCCTTGGTTGCCTCTTGGGTTTGTGTAAAACCTAACCAGTGAATTTACGTTACAGCATCCTAAGGCTTTTTATTTTTTTTGAGATTTTTTTAGGCTGAGATAAGAAAATCTGCATACTGGAAATGCTGCACCACATAGGAAAGATTTTTTGCAGAAAGCTGCAATTGACCAACACGACCATTGTAGCTCATGAGGAGCCTATTTGTGAGCAAATCCTTTCTGATGATTTTAATTCTAGTCTTTATTCGGAGGTTCTGAACCTTTGGTAAGAGGTTGTCACTGTCTTTTTTTCCTCCTCCCTCCAATGTTCATGGTGACTCTGCTTCTCAGGCACTTTGTTGGCATGACAGGGTGTTCAGGGAAGCCCTTGCTGTAGCTCAACTTCAGAGATGCATTATTTACCTGAGTGTTGATTAAGGATCCCTAACAAAGAAAGGGAGCGTTGGCCAGCTGACAGTTACAGTGGTGTCCTCTCCATATCTCAGGGGAGGATGTGCAGGATTTGAGAGCCCCAGAGTCTCTTCCTCTTGTCCCAGTCTAGCCTCTGGTTATTGGGGCTTTACTGTAGGTGGTCACTCACCCTGCCCTTGGCTACTTTCAGAGATCATTTGGAGTGTGACTACTTTTTTTACGTGATTAAAATAAACCCAGAACTTACAAGATTTGCTACAAAGATACCCTTG